AATAATAAATTATCCTGAATTTATCCGATGTTCCGGTGGCCATCGACTGCCCCAAACAATCGAGCTGTCACGCGACCGCCCTCTAGCTGCAGAGTCTAGCAGCTTTATAGAAACCCTGGGCGGCACTACCCACAAACTCTGGGCGGAATTACCCACTAACGTGGAGGCTGATAAAGTAGCCAATAATAACTGATGAAGATATTTTTCTGCACCGACGTCGGTGGCCGAGTGGATTAGACGCAAGTCTAGTGTGCGAAAGGTTGTGAGTTCGATTCCCCGTGGAACCGAATTTTTCAACGGAAGGCTCCGGCGAGCGGGAGGTTGCTAATAGAGGAACCGCCTGTACCGGCATGGGTTTTCTGTGGTTTCCCCATGCTACTTCTAGGTTCTATAGGAGTGCGAATGCGGTACAGTGTAGAATCCACAGCCGCATGCATAGGGTTGGATAGAGTGCCGAATGAGACCCGCAAAGGGCCCGTAAAAAAAAAGATATTTTTCTGCTATCGAAAAGGTTGCAATGGATGTGGAAATGTACAACGAACATATATTTCGTACCCCATTCAATTATGGACCAACTGGAAATTTGAAAAATCTTAAATTCTGGGGTCGAAATATTTTAATAATTCGGTAGAAAATTATTTGGATTTTTTTGAACGATGTTTGCACGGGAGAAAATTGAAAATTTTTGTTAAAATTACTTGTTATCAAATATTTGCATAAGAAAAAGTGAAAAAAAAAATTCTCAACCAATCCTGAGAAATACGGGTGGACGGTATTACCCGCTGGGCGGTACAGACACCAGCTCCTCTATCCCACCAGGCGCTGGTCTCTTCCTAATAGACACAGATAGTCCTCACCCTAAGGGCATCAGTACTAATTGCATACCCGCATCCTAGCAAATTGCCTGAAACACTCACTCTGAATAATTATCATCTCGCTGATGAATTGAAGCTGCAATGAGGATTCCATTAGCTTAACATGATCACGAGAAAAAAAGTTCCTAGTTTTCAGAAACAAGATGCTGAATTAAAGAAACTCGTGGTTCACAGAGAGATGAAAGTTTGGGTTTCCAGGAACATTTAACTGATTTTCAGGGATTTTTAGGAAGATTTTCAGGGACATGTCACTGATTTCCAGGGATATGTTACTGGTTTATGGAAATCACCAATTATTGGATACTGACTAAAAGAAACCTGATCATCGGTCACTTCTATCACTGAGATATGATGATAGATCCCTGAAAGGTAGAAGTGGGTTCTTGAAAATCAGTGGTCTTCTCCTGGAAATTAGGGACGACGTCCCTAAAAATTAGTGAGAGTGTCACTAAAAATTGGTGACAAATTCACTGAATTTCAGAATTTTGCACGCGGTGAATTTCACTATCGCGAAGTCCTAATAATTGGGGATAGATTTCTCAAAATCAGTGACATATTCCTGAAAATCAAAACTTTTTGCTTCCGAATGGAAGATTTATAATCGTTGAATTTGACGGTCTTCTAGTTTTACCTGCAAATTACGTAGAATGTCATGAAAAGTGAAGATATGATATTTTTAGAAAATGTGTGTACATTGCTAGAAAAAAATGAAATTTCATGGACAGTTGACTACTAATTTTCAGGACGGTGACACTGAATGCGAATGAGAGCAAGAAAATCATGAAATTTCAGGTTTAACGGAAATTTTAGTAAAATTCTAGAATTTTAAACAGCATAAAGACGAGAATTCCTTAATTTATTTCAATTCCACAATCTAATATGAATATTCAGTGTCAAATTGCATTGAATTTTCAGTGAAATCTGAAATTTTGTAATTTTTTCCCCTAAAATCATATTCAGTGTCCCTGTCCTGAAAATTCAATATATTACCGGAATTTTCTAGTTTTCAATTCATTTTCAGGAAAAAATGGAACTGAAATTTACAGTTCTCTTTGATTTTTCCATCAAATTCTGAATTTTCACTGACGAAATTCCCTGAAATTTCAGTGGTTATTAAATTCGGTAAAAATCCCCAAAAAGTGTACCAGAAATTTCAGACAAAATTTTATAATTTTTCAATATGTGAACATTCCACTGATATCCAGGATCTTTCGCCTAGACATCCGTACCAAACAGCCCTGAAATCCCGAGATTTTTCCTGAAAACCCCACATTTTGTTCTACCATTACGACTAAAATTTCCAAACCAACATGATCCCCATAAATCGCCAGTGACTAAATACATCGACAACAAAATGTTTGATCGCCGAGTAAATTCTCAACGTTACATATAGTGTCTCTAATCGGCAACACGATGAACCTGCTCCTAACTTAACCATGGTCTAATGCCTCGTTTCAGTTGAAGCCCAGTAACTCGTTTGCTCGTTTACTCGTTTACCCGACCGATACGTCCACCTCTATCCCGGTAATGTCGTGCGCGTTTAGTGTAAAGGTAAAGGTAGCAAATGGAATAGCCTAGAAGAGAGTAAAAAAGATGGAGTGAATGAGTGAGAGAAAGACAGGTTGAATGGCTGGAATTCTCCATCTTTCTTCGGGGGGGCGGAGGGGTGAAAAATTTTTCACGAATGGAGAAGAAACTAGGCAGCCGGCGTGAGATCGCCGCATTAACGACCGGCGTTGGAATGAGAAGAACGTATGAGAGTGAGTGGGATAAGATGAAAAGACCATAGCCATATGTGAAAACGAGAAAAGAGGATAGGTGGCTAAAGGGTAGAGGAGAGGAGAGGAGAGGAGAGGGATGCTGAGGCTTATGTCTTGCCTACATACTAGTGGCCATAATGTATACCGCGATATTAGCAGCCAAGGGTCTCCGTTATCCTAATTGCAACCAGGTACTAGAGTTATAGATCGAGCCAATCCAGCCGTCATTTCCCCCCCCCCTCCTTCTTTCTCTTATTCTTTATTTTTTTCTTACTCCTATCGTACTTATAGTCTGTACCTACTGTACTCCTGTTTTACTTGGGCTTTTCGTTTTGTTGTGGCAAATGGGTGTGCACAACATATTCTAGCAACCGACAAGAAGAGTCATCGTGGGATACTGCGGGAAAATATTCAGCTACCGAAGATAGGCGTTACGCCATAGTGAGCACGCCACTTTATTTGCGATGGGGAATGAATGAAAAATAATGAAAATTTTTTTATGGAGAAAAATTGAGGGGGATGGGCGGACTGTCTGGGGGATTATTTGCTTTTTCGGTCTAGTTGGGGAGAAGTTGTTCGAGTTGTTTTTATTATTTAATCATTGATTATGGAAAATTCTAGACATTTTTGCTTTCGAATGGAAGCTTTGTAATCGTTGAAATTTGAGTTTTGGATTTTTTGGGTTGTATCGATCTAATATGATTCAGAAAGTCCGAAAATGCAATTTTTAGATTTCGCGCGTACGTGTGTGTGTGTGTGTGTGTGTGTGTGTGTGTGTACGTATGCACTGTTAAAAATTTTCGTTTGAATGCTAAATTCGTTTGGGTGCTAAATTCCCGAAATTTTTATCGTGTTCAAGTTCCACTGAAATTTCAGGAAATCTTGTCATTGAAAAATCGAATATTCCATTGAATTTCTGCTCAAATGATCTGGATATTGATAAAATACTTGATTTGCCAGTTCAATTATTTCTGTGAAAATTCAGAGAAATCAGGAAAATTCAGGGATAAATTGAAAATTCATGTCATTTTGTTTCTGAGTGTTCGTGTTCCATTGAAACTTCAATCAAGTTAGGAAATTTCCGTGAACTCTACTTAAAACTTTCAAAAACGATTCAATGTCACTCATGAGATTTATCATAATATCTTCCATGAAATTTCAAAAAATTTCCAACAGTATAGAACAAAGTTTTTCTTCAATTGTTCACTAGAGTGGATGGAATTAAATTTTTCTCCCCAAATGTAGGTATTGTTAAGCTCTATTGATCGCCGTTAATTCAAATTTAATTCATCGATTATTTTTTTTAATCTTCGAATTTTTTCGAAAATCAGTTGTCCCATCATAACTAAAAAAATGTTCTGAATTGATTGAATGATGACCTAAAAAAATTGTTTGGATGTCCTTTTGACCGAGTTCGAAGATGAAGGCGATGGCAATAATCGTTATTTTGATTTATTTGAAAATTTGGAAAAATTTTCTATTTTTTGAAAATCAGAATTCCGGAAATATCTTTGAATATCATGCCTCAAATGAATTCAATCATAGCTTGAAATGTTTGTTTTAATGGCATTAAGTCGAAGTTAAACGATGATTACGATAGCTATATTGGTTGATTTGATTTTTATGATGATTGTTAAAAATTTCGAATTTTTCATGAATTTCCCTGAAAGTGAGCTTTCGGATGCTTTCTTCAAATGCGATATTTCAAGTTCATTCAAGTATTTCATAAATAAAATTTTTCTATTAACATTTTATCGCAGGGCTGAGGGGAGAGATAGAACCGTAAAAAAGACAATCGGTTGTCTAGAAGAAAGGGATAATAAGAATAATGATGATGATAACATTCAACTAAGTTGAAAATCTGACAAAATTAATTGAAAAGAAATCTTATTCAATTTAATAAAATGAAGTAAACAATGAATTATAGATGATAGGAGGAAATGATGTGCAAAATACCCATTCGGAAGCGTATTGCTAATTTATTAGCAAAGATAGCTATACTATATGCATTGCAAGAGCAATTTCCCATTTGTTTGAAAGGGGAATTGGTTGGATGGAGACAGTCACGGTATCAGTGAAATAAGGATGCATATCTTCAGTTAGACTTTCAATGAATGTCATGAGTCATCAGTGTATCGATGGTAGATAACTTGTTTTCTCGTTATTATTGCGAGCAGTGCAAATGGAGCAAGGTTGTTGGACAAGTGGTGGTTGTCCATTTCTACGACATCCTGCTATTTAACGTATTCCAGTTATTCTGTTTTTCTTCAGCTTCCACTATTATTTGAGTGTCCGGAAATTGACAAATGGATAATCAACATCACATTGCTTTCCATTAACGGGAAAATTATTATGTATGTTTCAGAATGGAGACGTTTCAGGAGGCGGCAATTCAGATGCTGAGAGAATTTAGAGCACTGCTGCAGCATTCACCACTGCCCCTTCCGGGTACCAGATTGCTGCAGCTTCTGGCGCTCAATATGTTTGCTATTGAAACAACTCAGCTGAAGGGTGAGTTTTTTATTCACTTTCTCAAACTGTTTCCATACAAAATCGCGAGTGTACAGCTCTCGGACTGAAGAAAAATCCGCCTTTGGAGGATTTTCGGAAACTCCTTAGAAAGAAATTTTGAAAAAATTTCAAAAAAAAAATTTCCCAGTTCAAAAATTTGGGCCTTACGCGTTCTAGACTCTTGCAAAACACCAAATATTTTTGGACCCAACTTTTAGGACTGATAGATAAAAATATTTCTCATTGGAGCTCCTGAATTTTGGGTCTTAGGTGATTTTTGGGCTTTATGAGCTCTGAGCCTGACTGTGAAGCATTACTTTTGGGCCTCATTTTGGGTCTGATTTTTGAGATATTATTTCCGGGGTTTGATTTTCGTAGCATCATTTTGCGGGTCTGACTTTGGACCTTAAAACATCGTTTTTGGGTCATATTTTTGAAAACATAATTTTTGGTGGGCCTTATTTTGGGCCTGATGCTTGAAGCATCATTCTCAGGGTTTGATTTTTGAAGCATCGTTTTTCGGGACTGACTTTTAGCTTTAAAACTTCATTTTTGGGCCTGGCTTTTGAAAAATAATTTTTGGTGGGCTTGATTTTTAAAGTATCATTGTGACGACTTTTTTGACGCATCATTTTTTCGGGCCTTAAACAACGTTTTTGGACTCGATTTTTGGAAAATAATTTTTGGCGGGCCCAATTTTGGGCCTGATTTTAGATGTGGTTCTTACAGCCTCATTTTTGGGCCCGATTCTCATTATTTTTAAAGCATTCTCCTCAAGGATTGATTTTTAAAGTGGTCATTTTAAAGTGGATCATTTTTCGGGCCTGAGTTTGGGCCTTAAAACATCGTTTTTGATCAGATTTTTGAAAAAACATTTTTGGTGGGCCTCATTTTGGGCCCGATTTTTAGAGCATTATTTTCAGGGTGGATTTATGAAGGATCTTTTTTCGGGCCTGAGTTTGGGCCTTAAAACATTTTTGGGCCAGATTTTGAAAGCATTATTATCAGGGGTGGATTTTTGAAGGATTATTTTTTGAGCCTGACTTTGGGTCTTAAACATT